ATATAAAACTAGTTATAGCGTATGAACTACCCCGTATAATCCCTTAGTATTTAGTATTGTTACAATATGGAAAGCGAGGACAATTTAAATTTAAAATAAAATACTGGGTGTCCTTTTAAAAAAAAAGTTACTTGAATATATTATATGTCACTTTCCTGAAGAACGCTGTATAATTAAAATTAATTTTAAATTGTTTTTTATATACATCTCTCTGTGAAAACACATTTAAAAAAATTAAATAATTTTGGCTCTACAGACCGAGGCGTTATATAATAATATAGGTAATTAAATAATAATATAATAATTTATTTCTGTAGACCTGTATATATAGGTATAGAAAACGTCACATACAATTTACAAACAAGACAAAAATGTAGGAGTAAAAACAAACTTATATATAATTCGTTACAAACAATACATTTAAAACATTTAGGTAAAATTAAAACATTTAAGTACAATTATAACAAAACATTTAAGTAAAATTGCAGTGGAGGTATTCCTCAACACTATAAAAAATGTGAGCTAGTAAGACCTCTGTTTCTCGGGTTTTGAAAGCTTTAACATCATTTATGCATTTTATGTTATCCAGGAGTTTATTGTAAAGCTTGATTGCTGTAATTAGATGCCCTTTACCATAACTAATTTATGTCTAGGTATAACGAGATTTTGTGCATTTCTTAAATTGTACCCGCTAATAATAGAAAATCTTCTCCACAAAGAAAATTCTGATGATTAGACCTTACATATAACAGACATTTTAAAATATAAACGGAAATAATAGTTAAAATTCTTAAGTCCTTAAAAAGTTGTCTGCATGAGAATTGTCTATTTTTGAAAGTAATGGTTCTTATAGCCTTTTTTTGTAACACAAGTATGTCATTTATTCTATTACAATTTCCCCAATATAATATGCAGTAATTCAAAATTGAGTGAATTTGAACGAAATAATACATTTTCAGGATATCTACTGAAATGAAATATCTTAGCTGCCAAAGGACATAACAGTGAGTGGCTAATTTAGATGTGATATGGTCAACATGAAAATTCCAATTAAAATGAACTCCTAAAAATTTGACACATCTACTTTGAGTTATAGATGTACCATTGTGGCGGACCAGTAAACTATAATTTAACTCGCTTGGGGAAAATAATAACATATTTGTTTTATTAACATTTAAAAACAGCCCATTGTTGTCACAAAAACTACTCATAGTTTCGACAGCCATGTTAGCTTGATTTTGTAACAAAAGAGTATCTTTACTTATAACACTAAATGATATATCATTAGCAACAAATTGAGTGATAAAAATATTTGAACTGGCCTAGTCGTTAATAAAAAGAAGAAAAAGAGTAGGACCTATGACACTACCTTGTGGTACACCGGAACTGACTTTTCGGGAAGTTGATAGATTTTTTAATGAATTTGAATTAAATAGAACTGTTTAGGATCTGTTAGTTAAAAAAAGATTTTATCCACATCAGAGCAGGGCCCCTGATACCATACAATTCAAGTTTATGTAAAAGTAATTCTTGATTGACTGTCTCAAAAACTCGAGAAAGATCAAAAAACATAGTTTGAAATTTATTATTTTTTTCAAATTTTTCTAGGATATGATTGAACAATGTAAGGGTTGTATCTTGGGTGGAAAGACCTTTTTGGAAACCGAATTGATAAGGATTATATAATTTACTAGCCTGGTTTGGAATGCTTTTTCGTAGATCTTTGAAAATGCTGGTAATAATGATATGCCACGGTAATTTGTGAACTCTATTTTTTCTCCTTTTTTAAAAAGTGGTATTATAACTGCACTATTTAGGATCTGAGAAAATGAACCGTTTTGAAAGGACAAATTAATTAAAATGAATCCAGGACAGATGATCCCTCGTACATTTGCGTCCCCGATATATTTGAGCCCCTGCCTTGATTATTCGAATAATGATAAAATTTAAGTGAGACAGTTGCGACCCTACCCCTATTAATCCCAAACAGAAGTAGCGTGCGTGCGTGCGTGTTTGTGTGTGTGTGTGTGTGTGTGTGTGTGTGTGTGTGTGTGTGTGTGTGTGTGTGTGTGTGTGTGTGTGTGTGTGTGTGTGTGTGTGTGTGTGTGTGTGTGTGTGTGTGTGTGTGTGTGTGTGTGTGTGTGTGTGTGTGTGTGTGTGTGTGTGTGTGTGTGTGTGTGTGTGTGTGTGTGTGTGTGTGTGTGTGTGTGTGTGTGTGTGTGTGTGTGTGTGTGTGTGTGTGTGTGTGTGTGTGTGTGTGTGTGTGTGTGTGTGTGTGTGTGTGTGTGTGTGTGTGTGTGTGTGTGTGTGTGTGTGTGTGTGTGTGTGTGTGTGTGTGTGTGTGTGTGTGTGTGTGTGTGTGTGTGTGTGTGTGTGTGTGTGTGTGTGTGTGTGTGTGTGTGTGTCTGTGTGTGTGTGTGTGTTTTGTGTTTGTCTGTATCCACCATAACTCATTAACCGAAAAACACCAAATTTTAAACTTAAGCTTCATTCCGGCGTCCAATAAACTGATTAGATTTTGGGCAGAGTCGGAACATCTGGGGGGGTACTTTATAGGTGGTAATTTTTATATTTTATGGAATATATCTGTTATTTACGTTTAGAGAAAAAAATTCTTTAAATAAAAGTTACTAACAATATTATTATCAATATTTTTTGTTTCATACAAAATTTTCCTAAAATGATCCGTATTCGAGAAATTTGACAAAATATAAAAAAAATAATTTTTTATATGAATTGTTTAAATAAAAGTTGTTTGTAATATAATTTTCTATAATTTTTATTGTATACATAATTTCTCAAGCATGGACCGTATTTGAGATATTTGAGAAAATGTGTAAATTTCGAATTTTGAGGAAAACTCAAAAACGGATAAAGGAAAAAACATTAAATTTTAAACTTAAGTTTTATTTCGGCCTGACGTGAAATGATTAGATTTTGGAAAAACTCGGAATATATGGGGTGTACTTTATGGGAGGCCGTTTTTATATGAAATATATCTGTTATTTATGTTTGGAGAAGAAAATTGATCAAATAAAAGTTACTTTTTTTATTATTATTATCTATAATTTTTGCCTTATGTCAAATTTTCCTGATATGGTCCGTATTCGAGAAATTTAACAAAATGTGCAAAATCCTGATTTTTAAGAAAATTGTTAAACTAAAAGTTGTTGGCGATATCGATCTCTATAATTTTTGTTTTCACACGATTTTTCCAAAATGGACCGTAATAGAAAAATTGAAGGAAAAGTGCTAAATTTAAATTTTTAAGTATTTTTTTCAATAAATATCTATAGAAAAATGTTTCGAGTTAGATGTATGTGGAAAATGTATATATTTAGTTTATCTTCTTAACATTTTTAGAGGTGCTGCAATAGGTTGTACAAAATAATCGGAAAAGCCTATAATAACTAGATAGGAAAGTCATGTGTTGGACACATAAGATTTTTTTATTACCTAAACGATATATTTAGGGTTTGAAGTAATAGGCTATTATGTTAGGATATTATGTTCTAAGAGATCAATATCTCAGCTTGTCCATTTTTATCCAAAAAAACGTTTATAACCCAAGATTTTAAAGGAAATTTAATATAATTTTTGTTGTATGAAGCAATACATGCACCTACCTCTACTCAGAAAGCAATTATAAGCAAAAAAGTTAAAAAAAATGATTTTTTTGCGTATTACATTCTTTCTTTATATTTTTTACATAAAAAATTTAAATAAATAATTTTATGTGAAATAGTCGTATTATTTACAAAAAAATTATAATAACTGCATGAATTTTGCTTCGTTCAGAAAGCAATTATACGCAAAAAAGTAAAAGAAATGGATCTTTTGCTATTTAATTTTTTTTTCTTTTAATTTTTATATATTTATTGACCATTTGAATGATTTATGTCATAAAAACCCATAAAAGTGATAATTCCTTTCTATATTACATATACAGTAGAGTCTATAAGGGATTTGCAAATTGCATTTACTTTTATTTTAACATGTCTTGCATTAAAACTGGTGAAAATGACAACACCATTTTCATATTTATTTAAGAATTAAATTTGAAATGGTTACGCTACTGATTTGAAGTCAAACATCAAATTTATAATATGGCGCTGGTTATGACGACACGTTTGCGCATGCTTCTGCAATTTCAGATGGATTCTTATCTCGTGAAACGGATTCTACAACTTCTATGTTCTAATTTAGATAGATTAATTTTACTGCAATATGCTACTCAGCTTTATGTTATAACCAAAAATATGTTTTTTTGTGGGCCAGTGTAATAAAAGCAGATTTAATTTAACACCTAAAAAACTTACATTGGTTATCAATTAGGGTAAAAACTGAAAATTCTCAAATTGGCTATAAACAATCTAAGGCTAATTTATAATAAATTGACGGCATCTGGCCATATCTAAAAATGATTTTAACTTTGTTAGTTTCCCCTATGTCACGCGATATACCACATAATTGTGTTTTCATAAAAAAATCTATATAATTTTAAACCAAGCTTTCAAAAAACTAAACAATATTTTGAAATGCGATATGTATCATTATTTTTTTTGTGTTGATTGTAAGGGTTGTAAATAGGTTTAGTTTTAAATAAAATTCTTAGGTGAGTCAATGTGATTATATGTGGTTTAGATACCAAAAGTCAAAGTCATTTTTCAAGTACTTCATGAACGGTTTTTAACATTAAAATTAATGCCAGTATATTTTTCCCTAAAGCTTCGTTTAAAGTCAACCGCGCATATACGGCAGATTTTTATGGGCGAACGCCAACCTTAAGGATATCAAACTTAAATAAAATATTAATATTATTGATAAGAAAGCTAAAAAAACAAAGATAACTCTTCCAAAGAATCTATGGACACTCTTAAGAAGATGATGGTTCTTGTCTCATCTAACGTCGATCTCTCCTTCTCATATTATTATCTGTGGTACACAAATCGCCCTGTAGGTTCAACGGTGGGTGTACGTACCAGCTTTCAATCGCTTAGCGATCTTCAGCAAACCACTAATGCGCCTTATCCATACATATAGAGTCACCTATCGTCGATTCCTCCAGTTGTCCGCAAGAGGTGAAAGTCAACATTGCCGAAGAGTACCTAGCACCGTACACGGAGCATGCGCAGTGACGAAAAAAGCACTCATATAAATAAAACGAATAGCAGCGACCGCTTCTTAGCTAGTGCTTGAATTTTCAGCATGGCTGACAAAAGATTATGGCTGTGTTGTTTTCTAATATTGGCGACGGGTAAGTGCATGTTTTTATTTATTTTTTTTTGGGAATTTTAAATCGCTGAAGGTGGTCAATGTCGGTTGTTAACCTAACCTAGTCTTTTTTAGAAAAGATCGGTTTTCAATATGTCAGACTTTCTCTGAGCAGAAAATATATACAGGGTGATTGATAGATTTTTATTTCACCCTACGGGAATGTCTTAATTAATTGGAAGATTTCTTTTAGGAAAAAATTATAAACACTATAAATATAAGTTGAAAACAAATTCAGATATTTCGACTTTCTCTCTTGCGAAACAGGTGTGCTGTATACAGGGTGATTTATTTTATTTCTACAAGTAAATAGGCCATGAATAATAATTAGATATCAAGGAAATTATTTATTTTATAAAAATAGCATTAAATATTATTAAATTATATCCTTTCACAAAAATATGTTGGCAATATGGATGTTTTTATTGGCTCAAAGCTCCAATAAAGCTAACAACTAATTGTTGTTCACCATTGTTTTATAGATTCAAATTCACATTGTTACAAATCGTTTTCTACTTGTTTCCTCTTAGTTCTTGTAATATTCTTCAATTGAATTGCTTTTTATTAATTTTATTTCTACAGTTAATATGACTTTCTATTTCATCTAAACTGACTTCCCTATACAGGGTGCGTCACCGATAACTGTAAAATCAAAATAATTGTTTTTTTAAGATCTTTTCGTAGAGAGATGTATATTATAAATGGCAACAATTTAAAAATAATAACAAATAGATATACAGGGTGCTCCAAACTTAGATTGTTTTAATGTTTATTATAGGTACTTAGAGTCTATCTAGGTTTTACAGTAGGTATTTCAGCACCCCCTATTATTAGTTGCGCGTTGTCCAAAATATTTTCATTGCCAAATATAAGAGCGGATGATTTATTAGGATTAATTTTCAAACAATGATCTTTTGAAATACTAAAGATTTTTCTAAATCTGAATTTATACGTTGAATAGCTTCTACTCTGTCCGTATATTAAAATGAAAAATTTAACTGTGTGTCGTCAGCGTAAAGATGGTAATGACAATACTCTAGTGCAAGTGGAAAGTTAGATGTATAAAGGGACCTAAAATACTTCCTTGCAGAACACCAGATAAAATTTCCATTGCAGGAGATTTTTTATCATTGACTTGTACAAATTACTTTCGCTTGCACAAGTAAGATGATAATAACTTATGAAATGTTTCACTAAATCGAAAAAAAATTAGCATTGATACTAAAATAGTATGATTAATCATGTCAAATGCTTTAGAGTAGTCTAGAAGAATTAATACTGATGTTTTGTTATTGTCCAAAGCCTTCAAAATATCGACTATAACATCAGAAAGTGCAGTAGCACAACTGTAACCATGTCTAAAACCTGACTGTTTAGACGGTAAAATTTTATTAGTATTTAAAAAATGAACTATCTGTTTTGTAATAATAATTTCAAAAATTTTAGAAAAATCAGGCAGAACACTAATAGATCTTAGATCATTGAAGTTCTTAGGGTAGTGGTATAAACTTCCAAGCTTGTGGAAAATAGTTGTTGGAAATACATTCATTTATGAAGTGAGTGACTACAGGCACAATTGTAAAACCGCAGAGATGAACCCAATTAAAATTAAATTCATAAATCTTATCACTTGCATTATTTAAATAAAAATTTACTGTTTCATCATTGACAGGAGGTGCCTAAGCAATGTTAATGAAAAAGTTATTAATCTCGTCAATTGATTTTAACTCTGTAAGAATCTCAATATTTTTTCTATTCTATTTAGTTTACTAGTTCTAAACATTTTTCTTTTGTATTACAATTGAGAAATTTAAACTCAAGATAGACTTTTTTCTGCATTAATAGCAGTTGTAGCAAAATTTCTGAGCTGTTAAGGAGACTGTGTTCTCCTAAATTTTTGTAGAGCTTTATCACGAATGTTTTGTTTAATATTGTCTGTAATCCACGGAGCATATCTAGTAGATTTTTTTTGTATTCGTGACCTAAGTTCAATTTTTTTATTAAATGCATTAAATTAAATTAAATTTCGTAAATCAAGGTGTCTGAACATTGGTTGACAGTTTACTTAACTTTTATTTAAACTGTTTTCATACTATTTCGTGTACGTATATGAAATTAATTAATGTATTACCTATTCTGTAATTATTCGTGTTTTAAAATTTAATTTCACTTTCTTATGACATAAACCTAGATTTAATGTAATTTATTATAGTAGGTGCTATTTAGCATATGTCACTTAATTAATAACTATTATTCATGATACAAAGTCATCTTAATTAAATGGGATTTAATAATGTGCCTTCTGTAAAAAGAAATATAAGAATGTTGGTATGATCTCTAAAACTATCACAGATAGGTATAGAGTATATACAGGGTGTCCCGAAATTAGACGGTCATATTTTAACAGCATAATCTACATCACAAAATAGAAGTAAAAGTTCATATAAACATAGATCCAAAAACGTTCTGTTTTCGAGATACAGAGTGTTACAAGTGAAGTCCTGATGGCACATTTTTGTAAATATTTTCTAAAATTTTGTTAGTCACAAGTTAAAAAAAATTAATTTTTTGATTCTACGTAATTATTTTTTACACTTTCGAATAAGATAACATCAACTTATCATAAAATTTTCAAAGTCAACAAAAACACTATAGACAGTTTAACCCTAAGCCCCTCCCCTAATTTACCCACCTATGAAGATGATCAAAAACTGGCGTTTAGTCCATTAAATAGAGCGTGAAAAGTATAGCATTTGTACCAAATTTCACTTAGTTATCTTTAAAAGTTTATAAAATATTTACAAAAATGTATCATCAGGACTTCACTTTTAACACCCTGTATCTCGGAAACAAAACGTTTTCGGACCTATGTTTATATAAATTTTTACTCTTATTTTAGGATGTAGATTACGGTCTTAAAATATAACCATCTAATTTCGGGACACCCTGTATATTGTATTATTTTCAACGTTATATCAGTTTTGCAACTTTTTTACAATTTCAGAACATGGTTTTTTTTGTAAAATACCGTTTTTCTTTTTATCATAGATAAAAAAATTCCAGTGCTGCAACCTTTTGTTTTGCATGGAGATATGTATTTTTTACATAAAAAAATTATTGTTTATTTTCCTCTAGTTTTGTCAAAAAAAAAAATTAAAAAGTTTTTAAAATTGGTTGCAAATGTTAATATAATTTTTTTTAAAAATCTGGTAAATTTGCAACTTCGAACAAGGTCAGGAACCTGTATACATTATTTGGAGGGGTTGCGAATCATATTTCAAATAATATTAAAATATACTGGGTATTCTATTTAAAATAATAGTTTTTAGTATTTAAAGCTACATACAATCAATATTTTCGTACACCCAGTACAATATTTTTTTAAACACTTAAAGTACAGGAGTTTTTAGACATTACTTTTCTGAATAGGTGGATCGGTCAAAATCACCCAGTTGTATGGCCACTGAGATCGCCAGACTTAAATCATTGTAATTTTTGTTTTCTGGTTTATTTTATTTAAATAAAAAAAATATTACTTTAGGAATCACCCGGTATATTAAGGTTCCTAGTCGTCCCGCTTTACTTAAAGAAATGATTCAGCTACTTTCCATGAGCGTTTGATGCTTATTTATGGCGTTACAGTTAAAATTGTTGGATTTAAGGAAATTCCGAACAAAAAAGAATTAATTTTCGTAATAAAGTAACAAAATAATAAAATTGTACATAATTTTGTATGAGAGAGTAGAACATAGAAAAAAAACTATTGTTAATTACGGCATCCCCACAAATAGGGGTGGAACTATGAATGACTACGAGTGAATTGGCAACAATAAACATATTAATGCTAAATTTCTTTTAAAAGAATCTGAAAAATTTAATCTATTTCGTGGAAAATGAAGTGGGATTAAATAAATTCCGAATTTAAGCCAAAAAGGTTATATCAGCTTAACTACCATCACCCAAATACCTATTACTAAGATTATTCTTCGAAAAACAAATCTTGAAGATTTAAGTAAGGTTGGAAAGATTATTTGCAACAAGAAAATTTCAGAAAAATTAGTTTTGAAATTAATTTCCAACTAGTAAATATTATTATTCATCAGCTGTTTATTTTTTATGGAAACTCCCAAAATTTGTGAAACCACCAAGGAAGAAAAAACCAGCTTTGATTTTTTAAAACCATCTCCCTTATCGTTGCAAGATATAAACGAAAACGAGCAACGTAGTAGGGATGCTTCAATAATAAAACCGAAAATTGCCAAGGATGAAGATTTTGTTTATTATTTCTTTTGAATCTTTCTTTATTTTTATATTTTTCTTTTTTTAATTATTTGATTGTCAATATCTAGATAAATTATTGATCCTTCATCCCCTACTTCTAAAATTTATTTTTCCAATACTATTGATGGCGTGATGCAACCTTGAGTGCAATGTTGCTGGATCAAAAATATATCTGAAAAACTGGGTAAATGTCTTGACACGGAATTAAAAAATAAAAACTTATAATTTCTTTAAAAATTAAGTTTTAAATCCTACTAATAGGATAACTGTTAATTTTTAAATTTAAAATTTACATTTTTAACATATTTCTGCTTATATTGAATATATTTTTGAGTTTGAGTTACAAATGAACTAATATATTAATTGTGAAAGGTTAATATTTAAAATGAATTTTCAGAATTACGTATATCCGGTTAAAAAAAAACGAAAAAATAAAAAATGTTTCTTTATTTTTTTTTTTTTATTATTAATATTTACTGAGTGGGTTGGATAAGCTTTGACAGAGTTTGAGAATGTCTAAATAACATAAACTTCAAATTACACACTTTCTTAATTAGCTTTACAAAGATTTTATAAGCGTTCTTACAACCAGATGTGTTAGAGTTGTTAATACTTTACGGAGATTCAACTAAAGTAAAGAAATTTTACTCATTGGTTTTTTAAACGAATTACTTAGAAACCGCTCACGAGTTATCAAAAGTT